CTCTCCCCCCCCCCACTCTACCTGAACAAAAAATGGAAAAATGTCCTCGGGTGAGGATAAAAAAAAATAAAATAAAATAAAATTCCCTAGCTAGACCATAATCTCCTTTGGGCAGACACTATCTTTCTCTTTTTCCTACAGTATCCATCCCAATATACATTAAACCTTTGAGCTTTAATTTATCTATCAAATAAAATTAATAACCTTTGCATTGCTTATGTCAAAGGATCAGGTTTGAAATAGTGGTTCAAGTCTTATTGTAAACTAATAAGCACTTTGTAAACAGTAAAAAATTTCTAAAAAGTTTTAAAGTAGTTTGCAAACGGCAACACTGATTTTAAGTATTGCAACCTGTTGGGGAATATAATACTTCCAAGTACCATTTTATGCTTGTAGATTTTGCTATTGATTTGAGAGAAATAGTTCCGGTATTTTGGAGTGCAATAGGTAGGCCATTTGAAGAACAGTCTGGGAATGAAAGCCAGCTAGCTCCATCTGGAGGAAAGTTTTGAGCACCTCTGGCTGTTTTCCTTCTAATACGTTTTGCCATCGTCATGTCACCATCATGCCACTGTCTGGTTTACCAGTTTGTTCTTCCCAAGATGAACTATCAATGGAGGCTTCTCTGGACATGTCAAGCCTCCATTATCTTTCATCTGGATTATTTCAATAGTATCCTCACTGATCTCCCAGCTCTTGCCTTCCTGCCATCTGATCTCAGCTCAGCAACCTAACTTTCTTAAAAGGAAGTCAAAATAGAAACAAAAAAACAAAACAAAAAAAAATGAAGCCAAATTCTGTTACTTTTCTGCTCAAAACACTCCAGTGGATTCCTCTCTCATTTAGAATAAAAAAAAAAACAAGTCCTTGTATTGGCCTACAAGACCCTGTATTATTTGGCCCTCATTACCTATCTGAACTCACTGTCTACTCTTTTCTCTTTTGTTCACCATACTCCAGGTAAACTGGTGTCCATGCTGTATTTCACACATGCTTCCACTTAAGAGCACATTTGCATTTGCTTTTTCTCTCCTTGGACAGTTTGCTTTCAGAGTTCTTCACATCCTTGCCAACACTTTTTATTATCTTTTTTTTTTTTTTTTTTTATAATAGCCATCCTACTGTATGTGAAGTGGTATCTTACTGTAGGTTTATTTTTTTTTTTAATTTATTGATTTGAGAGAGAGATTTGTTGTGCCACTTATTTATGTATTCTTTGATTACTTCTTGTGTGTGCCTTGACCAGAAATTGAATCCGCAACCTTGATGTATTGGAATGATGTTGTAACCAACTGAGCTGCCCAGCCAGGGTGTGGTTTTGATTTGTTTTTTTTCATGTTCTTGTTGGCCACTTATATAACTTCATTGAAGAAATAAATAAATGTTGGCTGGGTAGCTTAGTTGGTTGGAGCATCATCCCATTATGCCAAGGTTGCCGGTTTGATCCCCGGTCATGGCACATTGAAGAAACAACCAGTGAATGTATCAATAGGTGGAACAACAAATCAGTGATTTTTCTCTCCCTTTCTCTCTCTCTCGCTCAAATCAGTAAAATAAAAATAAAATGTTTAAAATAAGTGTGTGTTCAGATTCTTTGCTCATTTTAAAATCGGATTATTGGCCTTTTTATTACTGAGGTAATATTTTTTTAATCCTCACCCGAGGATATTTTTCCATTTATCTTCAGATAGAGCAGGAGGGAGGGAGGGAGAGAGAGAGAGAGAGAGAAAAACATCGATGTGAGAAAGATAAATCTATTGGTGCCACCCACACGATCCCAACTGGAGCCGGGGACGAACCGCAACCGAAGTACATGCCCTTGGCCGAAATCAAACCCCGGACTCTGGTCCACTGACCGACACTTTAACTGCTGAGCCAAACTATGTATTTTAAATGCGAATCTCTCATACCATATACATATATGTATGATCTGTAAAAAATTTTCTCTCATTCTGTGGGTTGTATTTTCATTTTCTTGATGGTATCCTTTAAAGCACAAAAGCTTTTGATATTGATGAATCCAGGTTACCTGTCTCCCCCTGCTCCCTTGATTATCTGTGCTATTGGTATCATATCTAAGAAACCATTTCCAAATCCAAGGTCATGAAAGTTTATGCCTATATTTTCTTCTGTTCTAAGAGTTTTATCTTTCTAGCTTTCTCTTTTGGGGTGCTAGTCTTGACCCTGTTCCTACTTACTTTGTGACCTTGGTTCACTTGCCCTTTCTCAGCTTCACTCAGTGATTGCCATAGGCTGGGAGTGTAGGGGGAGGATATTCAATACAAAGATAAGAGAGCTTTTGGGGGTGATGGAAATATTTTGTATATTAATTGTGGTGGCATTTTTACAACGGTATGCATTTTTCAAGTTTAATAGAGCTTTATACCTAAAATGGGTAAATTTTACTATATGTAAAGGAAATAAATCTGTCTTTCAAAAAATACCTTACAACTCTACAAAGTATGTGTTATTCTTTTCCATTTTGAGGCTAGAGGAAACCTAGGCTCAGAAAAGTTAATGGACTTGCCTGTGGTCCCACATTTGGTATGTGGCTTCCAGGATTTGAACCTAAATCTGCCTGTGATCTTCTTTCTCATTATTAGCTGGCCCAGAAACTGTAAACAGTATGTGGATTCTTTTTAATTTTTTTCTTTATTGACTTTAGAAAGAGGAAGGGAGGAGAGAGAGATATAGAAACATCGATGAGAGAGAACATTGATTGTCCACCTTCTACATGCCCCCCACTGGGGATCAGGCCCACAACCTGGGCATGTGTCCTGACCGGAAATCGAACTGGTGACCTCTTGGTGCATGGGTCGTTGCTCAACCACTGAGCCACAGTGGTCGGATTCGGTTGTAAAAGGCTGACCTTCCCTCGAAAGCCAGGAACCCTGTCTGCCGGTGAGCAGCTCCCTCAAAGTGACTGTCATATTCTTATTCCAAATTTTGAGCCCCTGGCAGACCTCATTTCTGTTAGTCAATAGCCAGGATTGGAACCGATGCTGTTGAGGAGTACTGCCTAGGCATGATCTCCTTCTGAGACTGTGGCTCTTATTTTGGAGCAGCAGGAGACCAGTTTCAAAGCTGATAACTTTCTTTGCTTATGAAAAGCAATTTCATACTTTGTCCAATCAGCAAAATAGATTACTTCTCAGTAGGAGAGTGCTAAGATGTTTACAGGGCCAGTTGTGCTGTTTAGCATTTTAACAGTCTTCCTTACGGTGGCTTATTTAGCAGAGAACTGGTTGGATAGACGAGAGATCCAAGGCAGGGAAAGTGTACAGGTAATCACCTGTGTTGTTACATCATTGCCATCATCAGTTACATCTGCATGTCACTTTACAGTTTGCAATCTATTTTAACATCTGTGATCTCTCTTAATTCTCTCAGTACCCTGTCAGGAGAGTGCTATTATTTAGGGAGAGTGTGTTACTTGGCTATGTTCTTGGATAACTCTGGCTGTAAAAATATTTTTTCCCTAAATTGTGCTGAAATACTTATCTCCTAACATTCATCCTCAAATTGTTCTAGTTTTAGTTTGTCAACTTGTGATAGTTTTAATGTAGTCTGTTGCCCTGGTTTGCCAGGACTTCACACTGGGTACATTTCAGGAAGTTCTATCCTCAGAAATTGGCCAGTGACATTTTCTACTTTGCCTGTTTGATTCCCTCAGCTTCCTCTCCTTGAGAACCCATCTTTTCTACACCTCTCATTATAGACCCCTGGACAGACTAATTAATCGCAGAGCAATTGTCCTCAAGCCAGCTGTTGACTGCTTGTCTTCAGCATTTGTTCCTATCCTGAGGTGGTACAGGAAAAGTTAATGACCTAAAAATATCGTGCATCTATCATGTGAGCCTAGTTAGGAGGGAATTGCTTGGTTTTTATGAAGTGTAAATAATGTGTTTGGAGAGACATTTTCAAACATGTTGGCCTGTGTGTCAAAGATAGTTCCCTTAAACAAGGTGGGACAAATTGGCTGGCTAATAGAGCTAAATGGCAGGTTTTCTGTTAATCAGAATGGAGAATGTGCTTCGTTAAGATAATTAACAGCACTTGTGCAGGTGGTACTTATTTAACACAAATTTCCAAGTTTATTTCTTTCCCTTGAATAAATTTTGAAGGAGGCCTTGGCTGTGTTACCTTGTTTGCATTAAAATGATCAAAGGCAATAAATTTCCTTTTGTTTTTGTTGTTAATCCTCACTAAAGGATATTTTCCCACTGATTTTTAGGTAAAGTAGAAGGAAGGGAGGGAGAGAGAGAAACATCATTGTGAGAGAGACACATAGATTGTTTGGTTGCCTCCTGCACAACCCCGACCAGGGCCGGAAATTGAACCTGCAACCCAGGTACGTGCCCTTGACCAGAAATTGAACCCACGACCTTTCAGTCTGAGAGCCAATGCTCTAACCACTGAGACAAACCAGCTGGGTCAAATTCCCATTTTTTTAACCAAAGCTGTTAGTAACTAGTATCTTGTCCTTTTCAGGTGCAAAGTGTGGATGAGGTACTTGCTACTCTTCTAGAAATCTATGTGCTTATCATCAGGCACTCAGGCTCTTGTGGGGAACAGAAGTGTATCCTTTCCCAGCTCCTGGGCTAGCATCCTTACAATTAGAAAGGACCTCAGAGAGCCTAAACTAATTGATTTTATATCAGGACATTGAAGGCCAGAGAGGGGAAGTGCTTGGCCATGTCACACAGTATGCTAGTGACAGAGTCATCTGGGGTAGTTGGACTACTGTTGCCTGAGAACCAACAGCCTGGGTTAACATTAGGCAAGGTTTCTTACCTCTCTGCTACCCAACATTGTCATCTGTATAATGGGAAAAGTGTCTAACATCAGGCCAAGTACAAACAAATGGCTTTTTGTTTAGTCCTTTTTCTGTTATACCATTTGCTTTTCTATGTGTGTAAACTGAAGATTGTAGGGAGGAAGCTGATGTCAGGGAGAATGAGCAATTAACAATCAATGCTGTTTTCTTTGTTTCTCTGTAGGATCCTCAGTCTTCCACAATGAACCCTGTTTATAGCCCCGTGCAGCCTGGGGCTCCTTATGGCAACCCTAAGAACATGGCTTACACAGGTGAGTGGTGTGAGAATGGCTCTCATTTTGAGAAATGGAAGTTAAGGGCATTACCAAATAAATTGCTGTATGACTTTTGGTATACTATGCCTCCAAAAGCTTTGGTAAGCTTGCAAACTTGTAGAAGGGAGACATGTCTGGGGTCCAGGGGAGATGGAAATCACATTATTGAGACTAAGGCTTATTGAGTTGTCAACTAAAGGAGGTAACATTTATTTATTGAGTACCTACCATGGGCCTGGCCCTGTGGTAGGTACTTTAATCTTTTTTTATTTTTAATTCTCACCCAAGGATATAGTTTTGATTTTCAGAGAGAGGAAGTGGGGATGCATGGCTGGTGTGGCTCAGTGAATTGAGTGTTGTCCCATGGACTGAGAGGTCCTGGTTTGATTTCTGGTCAGGACACATGCCCGGCTTCAGGCTCAATCCCCAGTTGCAGGTGTGCAGGAGGTAGCTGATCAGTGTTTCTCTCTCATATCAATATTTCTTCTCTCTCTTCCTTTCTCTCTTTAAAAGAATGTTGAGAGAGGAAGTGGAGGGGAGGCATCAATGTGGAGAGAAACATTGATCGGTTGCCTCTTGTATATGCCCTGACTGGGAATTGAACCTACAACCTTTTGATGCATGAGGCAATGTCCCAACTAATGAGCCACCCAGTCAGGGCTGGGCACTTTCATCTTAAACCATTTCTACATTGTACAGTTTATCATCACCATGTCACAGATAAGAAAAGCAGTCACAGTAAGAAAGGCTACAATACAAAACAAAAATAGATATTTGAACCCTGGTCTCCTGATTGTGAAGGCTGATAATTTCCCCCGCCCTGAACTGCATACCGAACTGTTTCCTCCTTCTGTGCCTTTGTGTATGTTGTCCCTCTGTCTGGAATGTCCTTGTCAGCTAACAGCTTTGCCTTCTCAGGCAGTACTTTTTCAGCAAGCATTTTCTCCCTTACTTGGCCTTAGGCAAGTTTTTAACTTCCAGAGCCTCAGTGTTCTCACTATAAAACGAGAGCAATAGCCTGGCCAGTGTGGCTCAGTGTTGCCCCATGGACTGAAAGGTCCTGGTCAGGGTACATGCTCGGGTTGCAGGATTAATCCCCACTAGGAGGTGTGCTGGAGGCAACTGATCAAGGTTTCTGTCTCCTCCTTCCTCTCTCTCTAAAAAAAAAAAATCAATAAAAACATATTTAAAATAAAACAAATCTTTAAAAAAAATGAGAGCAGTAGTATTACTCTATTTCATAGGGCTGCCATAAAGATTAAATGAGCTATTATAAGGCATTCAGCTTACAATATCTAGTACAAAGTAAGTGCTTAATAATTATGATTATGATTTACAAATAAATAAAGATGGGTAGGATGTATGGTAGTGGAAGTGAATGAGAAAATGTATATAAGTTGCTAGCATGGTGCTTAGCATATCATGAGGCTTCAAAAATGTAATGAATTTAAATCGAAGGTGAAGGTAACAGTGTGAACAAACACATGGAGGTAAGAAGGTTTGGTCAGGGGTACAGTTAATACTTGAGATTAGCTGGAGTGAAGAGTAGAAAAGGGGAAAAGTGGGAAATGAAGTAGATTAATTAAAAAAGTAGATTAATTATGGTCTTGGTGACAGGGATCTCAGGGAGCTCCTGGGTTGTTCTGAACTTTTTTCTATAAGAGAGCACTAGGGGTGCTTCAGAAATTTCTCAAATACATTATTTGATTAAAAAAAAATATTTAGAACTATTCTGTTGTTGTTAATCTTCACCCGAGGATATTTTTCCATTGATTTTTAGAGTAGAAAGGATAGAGAGAGACAGGGAGGGAGGGAGGGAGTGAGGAAGGAGAGAGAGAAGAAGAAAGATAAAGAAACAAGGATGTGAGAGAGACACATTGATTGGTTGCCTCCCTCATAACCACTGCTAGGGCTGGGGATTGAACTGCAACCTAGGTACATGCCCTTGGCTGGCCGATGCTTTAACTGCTGAGTTAAACTAAACAGGGCTAGAACTAGTTTTTTTCTTTATTGATTTTAGAGAGAGAGGAAGGGAGAGGGAGAGAGAGATAGAAACATCAGTGAGAGAGAATATTGATTGGCCACCTTGGGATTTGGCCCACAACCTGGGCATGTGCCCTGACCAGGTATTGAGCTGGTGACCTCTTGGTGCATGGGTCCCCATTCAACCACTAAGCCACGCCAGTCGGGCTACAATAGATAGAGTGGGAGGGAGAGAGAGGAAGAGAGAGAGAGAGAGAGAGAGAGAAACATTGACGTGAAAGGGACACATCGAGTGGCTGCCACCTGGACAACCCAACCAGGGCTGGGGACAAACTGCAACTGAGGCACATGCCCTTAGAAGGAACCGAACCCGGGTCTCTCTGGACCGCAGGCCAACGCTCTAACTGCTGAGCCAAACCGGCCAGGGCTATTTTTCTTTTTTTAAATATGTTTTTATTGATTTATTTTTAGAGAGAGGAAGGGTGAGAGAGATAAAAACTTCGATGTGAGAAACATCCTTCGGCTGCCTCCTGCATGCCCCCTACTGGGGATCGAGCCTTCAGCCCTGGCATGTGCTCTGACTGGGAATCAAACTGGGACCTCTCAGTCCAAGGGACGACGCTCAGTCCACTGAACCACACCAGCTGGACTAGAACTATTTTTTTAAATCCTCACCCAAGGATATTTTTCCATGTATCTTCAGATAGAGCGGGAGGGGAGGGAGAGAGAGAGAAACATTGATGTGAGAGGAACACATTGACCGTTGCCTGCATGACCCCGACCAGGGCCAGGGATGAACCACAACCGAGGTACGTGCCCTTGACCTGAATCAAATTGAAGACTCATTGGTCCAAGGGCTAATGCTCCAACTGCTCAGCCAAAATGGTCAGGGCTAGAACTATGTTTATAACACATAAGATGATCAGTGTGTTAATTTAAGCTTCTAAGAATGCATATTAATTTAAAACAACTGCTAACATTTTTATCTGCTTATTTGTAAATCAGAATTTTCTCAAATTTTCTCAATGCTCCTAAATAACATTCAGAAATATATTGAAGGTTGACTATAGCTGTCATTACTAACTTTCAGTTTCTTATGTTTGTGTTTATCACAACAGCTTTATTATCCAAATTTTGCCTTAATGGTAAACATTTTCTCTTTGAACTTTTGTGTGTTTATTGTAATAAGATTAATTTCAGTAATCAGGACCCATTGGGCAGAACTCCATGCGTCACTAGATCAAGGAGCCTGTTGCTGTTTCCCTTTCTAGTTCAGAGTGTTCTAGCAACCTAAGTTCATTTGCCAGAAGAGGACTGAGCTGCTTTGGCAGACAGAGCCCAGAGTAATCTGTGGGTTTCCTGTGACCCTGGCTGCCTTCATTCTTACTGAATTGCTAAACTATAGAAAGGAAAAAAGAGTTGCATTTATCTGTTTATTTGCACAAAGAAGATTAAACAGTGTGATGTATTGGAAAGGGAACAGACTTTGTCTCTGCATGGCACATAGTAGAACTTGGTAAATGTGTTTTGATTGAATGACCAATGACCAAGTTCAAATCCCAGCTCTGTCAGATAATAGCTATAGGTGACTTTGGACAAGTTGCTAAATCTCCCTAAGTTTATTTTTATTTTATAAACTGTAATATTATCTATCTCATAGAATAGTTGTGAGAATGAAATGAGATAATTAGTATTTCTGCTGGAGGTAGAAAGGAAGGATGACCTTTGTTTCCACTAATCACCAAGAATTATTATCAGCCTGGAACTATGTTTTAAGTTTATTTCTCTGCTGGAGATTCTAGGACCACACAGGTGGTATAAACTCCACACAACTAGAATAAATTCAATCTTCACACAGGACAAAGTTCAAATTCTTAGGAAAACTTTCTGTTTTAACTTAAGCTTCCTGCTCTCTCTTTGTACTTTTTAGTCAGTTTATTTATTTATTTTTTAACTGACAATATGATTTCTCTAAGGTCCCAGCTTTATGCAGGGAAATTTGAGTTCCAATTCTTGGCCTCCCAAAGCCAAAACCTCATCTCCCACCCTTCGTGACTTTAAAGCAAACCCTTTGATTGCCCAGACCAAAAAACCTTCCTAGAACAGTCCAACATTAGCTCACTATGCAAGTTCCTAATTTTTTGTTTTCTCAATATTTTTGACTCCTGGAAATTTCCTTTTCTTTCTTAAAATGTCAACTCTGCCTGTGTTTGTTATATAACAAAGTATTTGTTAAACTGTATCAAGTTTTTCTAGGTGTTACATAGGCAGGTTTTCAGGTTATCTTTTCCTTTACATTGCTGCATGTAGAAGATCCAAATGGGGTAATTTGTAAACAAATGCCAACCAAATACAGTGCATTAGTATAAACATTTATTGTTAGTGACAGTAATAGTTATGTTAAAAAGTATTTGACAATCACATGCTAGGTATTTCATATATATATATGAATTATCATATTAATCATAAACCCATAGTACACTTCCTTTGCAGTTAAATAAACTGATACTTTAATTTAGGTCATATGACTTGGCCAGTGTATAGTATAGCTGCCAAAGGATGAAGAAAAGATTTGAACTTGGGTCTTTGTGATTTCAAAGTATATGTGCTTTCTATTATAGCAAGCTGTCTTAAAATATGTGCTCTTTTCACTGCTCCCAGTAATAAGCTAGGGAAGAGAGTTATCTTTTCTGTTTGTAGGACTAGGGAACCTCACCTTTGAGGAGGTGGTAGCCTGCTCCTGGCCAGCAGTTCCTCCATTGACTCCACATGTAAAGAGACTATTATAGCACACTGAAATAAGAGCTATTAGGGGGATGTACCACTATATTCTAAAAACCTAACATAATAAATAAATGTACAAACTGCTGTGGAAACATGGTAGCTATATGGGAGAGGCTTCTGAGAAGCCAAGCATGGAACTAGATCTTGAAGCATGAGGTGGAGGTCTTAGTTCCAGGTCTGGTTCTGCTACTAATGACTGCAAGATACTGGGCAAATCCTGCCCTCTCTCT